CTGTCACACCTGTCACACCTGTCACACCTGTCACACCTGTCACCTCTGTCACATCTGTCACATCTGTCACATCTGTCACACCTGTCACACCTGTCACACCTGTCACCTCTGTCACATCTGTCACATCTGTCACATCTGTCACCTCTGTCACACCTGTCACATCTGTCACACCTGTCACATCTGTCACCTGTGTCACCTGTGTCACCTCTGTCACATCTGTCACCTCTGTCACCTCTGTCACACCTGTCACACCTGTCACACCTGTCACATCTGTCACCTGTGTCACACCTGTCACCTCTGTCACATCTGTCACACCTGTCACATCTGTCACCTGTGTCACACCTGTCACCTCTGTCACATCTGTCACACCTGTCACCTGTGTCACACCTGTCACCTCTGTCACCTCTGTCACACCTGTCACATCTGTCACCTGTGTCACACCTGTCACCTCTGTCACCTCTGTCACATCTGTCACATCTGTCACATCTGTCACCTCTGTCACACCTGTCACACCTGTCACCTCTGTCACCTCTGTCACATCTGTCACATCTGTCACCTGTGTCACCTCTGTCACCTCTGTCACACCTGTCACCTGTGTCACACCTGTCACATCTGTCACCTCTGTCACCTCTGTCACCTCTGCCCGCTGCTGACGTGGGGAGGAAGCAGATCCTGGAATTGCTCCCGGATTGCTCCCGGATTGATCCCGGATTGATCCCGGATTGCTCCCGGATTGCTCCCGGATTGCTCCCGGATTGATCCCACGGGTCTGGAGGAGCCTTTGGGGTTTTTTGGAGGCGTTCAGAGGCCCCGAGGCTGCTCTGGGCCTGACTGGGGCCGGTTCTCGGCGCTGAGAGGTGAAAATTCGGAATTTCGGGAACTGGAAATGGGGTTTGGTGTTTGTTTGGGGTTGGTTCCTGATGTTGAGGGTGAAAATTCAGAATTTCAGATGCTGGAAATGGGGTTTGGTGTTTGTTTGGGGTTGGTTTTTTGGGTTGAGAGGTGAAAATTCAGAATTCCAGACACTGGAAATGGGTTTTGGTTTTGGTTCCTGATGTTGAGAGATGAAAATTCAGAATTTCAGGCACTGGAAATGGGGTTTGATGTTTGTTTGGGGTTGGTTTTTTGGGGGCTGAGAGGTGAAAATTCAGAATTTCAAATGCTGGAAATGGGGTTTGATGTTTGTTTGGGGTTGAGAGGTGAAAATCCAGAATTTCAGGCACTGGAAATGGGTTTTGGTTTTGGTTCCTGATGTTGAGAGATGAAAATTCAGAATTTCAGAGGCTGGAAATGGGGTTTGGGGTGGAATTTGTGCCCGGTGGGAATGGGTGGAGCAGTGATTATCCCCGTGCCAATTAGCACTGGTGTTAATTAACAGGACAAAGGCACCAAATGAGTTTGCTGGGGGTGTCTTCCCGGCCCACCTGGATTTCCCCAGGGTGGAATCGTCTCCATCTCTTTCCTGGAATTCATCCCTGGGGGCTCCCCCTGATTCAGCCCCGAGGTTCTGGAGCAGCAGGAAACGGCCGAAATGGGAATAAAAAATTCCAGAATGGGAATGAAACCATCCGAAATGGGAATAAAAAATTCCAGAATGGGAATAAAAACATCCGAAATGGGAACAAAAAATTCCAAGTGGGGATAAAAGCATCCAAAATAGGAATGAAAACATCCAGAATGGGAATTGAAAACATCCGAAATGGGAATAAAAAAATTCCAGAATGGGACTGAAAACATCCAGAATGGGAATTGAAAACATCCGAAATGGGAATAAAAAAATTCCAGAATGGGAATGAAAACATCCAGAATGGGAATAAAAAAATTCCAAATGGGAAATGAAAACCATCCAAAATGGGAATAAAAAAATTCCAAAATAGGAATGAAACCATCCAGAATGGGAGTCCCTCCTCCTGTCCCCTCAGCCCCTCTGACACTTCCAGTCACCAATTAACCCATCCTTGCTGCCAATTAACCCTTTCCCCGGTGCTAATTAACCAAGGATTTCCCCGGTGCTAATTAATTAACCCTTCCTTTCCCGGGTGCTCGTTGCAGGGCCACCATCGATGAGGTGGAGACCGATGTGGTGGAGATCGAGGCAAAGCTCGACAAGGTGAGGGCACTGAGGGGACTTGGGCACTAAAATCTGAGCCCATTTCACGCTGTTAAATTGTATTATATTA